TATTATACAGTCATATGATGTATTCGGTATGAAATAGCCGAAAGATGACGTTCGGAGACTTTTGGCGGGGGTCTGTAGTTAAGAAATCTTTGCATCAGATTTTTGATCAGGATGAATTTGTTGATGAGGTGGAAAATGTTAAATCTATAGATGAGTTAATAATGAAAATCGAAGAAATTATTTTTGAAAGAGATTTAATGATAAAATATGGATCTTGTGTCGCTTTAAGACATGTTGCTACGGGAAAATACTTAACAAGAATTATAAAAATGATTATAATTTAGTAAGTAATGTTTAATAAATTATATTTATTAAATTTTACCTTATGAACATTAAAACTTCATAATCTTTATTAAGATATTTGCAGGTAAAAAATTTACCAACGTCCGATTCTTTATGGATTATTGGAACTGAAAATTCAGATTATGATGACAATATAATAAATAACCGAGACTCTAGTATACTTTTGTTACATAAGAAAACAAATAGAAAACTTGATTATGAGTGTAGCAGTAAAAATTTACATCGTAGAATGAATAACATCAATATTTGTAAAAATCTTTTTTATTTTTTTATTTTTGTCTATAGAGAACGAGAATGGACATTGATTTAAAGAAACATGTGAATACATCCAAGTATATTTATATGTTTGATTTTTCATATTTTATTTTGCAATATCAAAATATTTAATAAATTATTATCTTTCATTATTATTGCAAATTAAAAAGTGAATAAATAAAAATATACCCTTATTATGTATTTTAACTTAATATGCTAATAATAAAAATGAGAATTAAGTCCGTTATATTTATTATAATATTTAAAATATACCGAATTCCATAAAAATTCATTTTTCGGTTGTATAATTTGAGGTATTTCTAATCGATTTGTATAAATTTCAAATTAAGTAAATGTAATTCTTTTATTTGTTAAGACATTAATAAATTATTTTATTCATCTTTGGATTTGATTAATTCATCATAAACCGGCTTCATTAATAAAATTTCAAGTTTTTGTAATTCAACTTGCAAGTCACAAATTTCTTCCTTTTTTTTTTAAAAAAAAATTCTTTGTATAAGGAAATTTCTTCGTTATAGTATAAGAGTGTTATCATTTCTACGTGGTGAAAAGTTTGAAGATTGTTAACCCATGTTGGAGACAAAAATTTGCGAAAAAATAATAAATAAAATTTGGGAGGTTTGCTATCAAAATCACGTTACGAATTCATGATTTATTTACTATATAGAAAAATATTACCAAAAATAGTGTTCGATAATGAAGATCATGAAGATCTTTGAATCCCACAATTTCAACATTTCAAACATTTCAATATAAATAAGTACAGAATCCATCCTATCAATTCTTCAGTGTTTACACTCCCTCTTGTGAAGGAGACGATGTCTATAGTGCGTCGCTTTTTTCTTCATGTCTTCGGATAGAGGTAGCTAACTACAAGTAGTCTAGTCTCCTTTATAAGTGGTAAAATCTTTTTATATTATAGCGGGTGGGGAGATAGTGGGAAATGTATGGTGTTGAAAAATGTAAAATTACAGAGTGCAGTTAATGAAACAAAAAAAAAGTAGAATAATCCTTGTCAGTCATGCATAGCTAACGTTATACATAGTTTAGTAACTACTTTTTAATATATATATTACACTGCATTCGCAAATATCGATATATACAGTATTATAGGTTTTTTATCACAAGAGTTTTTTTCGAGCTAAATAATAAAGCTAGGAAATACGGTATCAAAATGTATTAAGATATTAAAATTTAAAGGATGAGTGCGTGAAAAAAATAACAAATAAGCGGATGAGCTATATTTCATACTTCCTCTATACCGGTTGTGCAGGCAGGGAATTTTCCGAATAAAATCTTTGATAATTTAATAAAATAATAATTAATTTTTTACATTGAAGGTAATCATTATATTCTCTTATGAAGTGTCAAAATGATTACACGCGTAAAAAATGCGAGGGATTCATTCTACACGAAATTTAAAGCGTTTTGCAGTAAAAGGAAATTATAAAAAAAAATTACACTGCAGAGCGCTTAAATTGTAATGTTCAAATTGGACTGAGAGAATACTTTTAAATTAAAAATATATCAAAAATCAATTAAAATCTTTCCTTTATTTTCAATATTTAGGTTTAGTATAAATTGAATTTTTTGAACTGCCAATTTCTTTATGGCATTACATTTGTCTTATCAATCAAACGATGTGAATGCTGGCTTTGACGAGAACCTTTCTTCTTGTGTACATATCTTAATAATGTCACTATGTTAGCCGGTGTTATTCCTTCAATACGTTTTGCTTCTCCCTAAATAAATAGTGATAAATCAACGAACAATTATAAATTATTTTATAGCTATTATATATTTATCAATGTGGTTAGGTTTAATGAATTTTATTTTTGATCTAGTCTCAAAATGAAAGGTTATGAACTCTACACAAATAAGGAAAAAAAGTTAATGCATATATCATTTTGACTGTCTATCTTGGGTAAATATTATTGGAGGTTCCGAAATGCCCAAGTCTAAAAAAAAAAGAATCATTTGTTAAATCGCAAGATATAATTCTTAACGATAGTGTTGCTCTTAATAACTTATAATATAAAGGTTCCGCAATTGAATACTATTGAAGAATTAATTGAAGCCTTAAAACAAGATATATTTTTTAAGGTTTACAAAAACGATGCTAAAAGAAAATTATCTTCTATGAGATATATGTTTGAAAAAGATGATGGTTATCATAATGAAAGAATTTCTTTCACTTTGTTACGACGCAGAAATAATTAATGAAATTAGTGAAGTTAAGAAATATTTGAATAAAATTTTAAAAAATAGTCTGTTAGAAGAATTATTTGCTGATAAGTTTGAAAATATTAAATCTTTGGATATCTTAGTGAATAAATTTGAAGAAATTATTCTTGAACAAAATCAAATGATAAAATATGGATCTTGTGTCGCTTTAAGACATGTTGCTACGGGAAAATACTTAACAAGTATCGATACAACTTATCAAATTAATTATAATTTAGTAAGTAATGTTTAATAAATTATATTTATTAAATTTTACCTTATGAACATTAAACTTCATAATCTTTATTAAGGTATTTGCAGGTAAAAAATTTACCAACGTCTGATTCTTTATGGATTATTGGAAATAAAAATTCAGATTATGATGCTAATATAATAAATTACCGAGACTCTCGTATTCTTCTGTTACATAAGATAACAAATAAAAAACTTGATTATATAGATGGCAGATGTGGTAATTATATTTTTATTCAATATATGTTAAAATAATATCTAACTAGTGATTTTAAAATTTATAGTAACTAGTGCTGGAAATTATCATTGGAGGTTCCGAAATTCCAAGTCTAAAGAAAAACGATCATTTGTAAAATCGCAAGATATAATTAATATTCATATTGATCATAACGAATTTGTTGTACGTAGTCATGAAGTCAATTTTAATGTTAATAATGAAACTTTTCAAGAAGTGATTTATCATAAAGAAAGAATCGGAGGAAACGATGAGGTAAATTAGGAATATAATTATAATTTTAGTATAATTGAATTCTAACTATATATATATATATATATTTTCCCAATATAGTGGTGTTCAACTTCCGACAAATTTAAATAACTTACAAAATAAAATTTCATTTTACGTTTACAATTACAACAATTACAACAGATTCATTTTAAATCAAATAAATGAATAAATAAATCTCAATTTTCACTTAATTTATTAAATAAATTTTTAAATATCCTTTTGCCGGCATATAAATTTTGTAAACTTATTCTTTCATTATTTAGATGAGCTTGATCGGTAGATTGTCCTATTGGTAAATGAATTGCTTTGGCATTAAATTTTTTTTCTAAACACCTAACAGCCGGTATAGAACCACCTTCTCTTATATATAATGGTTTGATTCCATATTCCTATTAAGAATAAGAATAAACATTTAATAAATAACGATACAAAATCGAAATCAAATTATCTTTTTGTTTTTTAAAAAAAAAAGAAATTTACTTGTTCTATTGCTTGTTCTGCAGCTTTAAAATATTGATTTTCGGGATCTCCTAACCACCAATCTGCCAAATTATTAATAGAGACCTACAAAATAATTTGTTATTACCAATCTTTTTTCTCCCTTAAAATCAAAATGAAGAAAAAGTCAAAAACTTACATTAATTTTATTTTCGGTTTTTAATTCGTCAAAAACCTTTTTAATAAAATCTTCAAAACTTTTCACAATTTCATTAATATCTTGATCAGGTACAATACGCATACTAACATTAGCTTTAGCTTTACATGGTATCACTGTAACATTATCTGGTCCACTAACATCAATCTTATGTATTGTTAATGATGGATATCTCCATTTTGACATTAATGATTCTTTAGTTTCGCCCGGTTTTGAATTACAATTCCTCTCTTCACTAGCATTATTTATTTTAGATCTATTGAAAATAAATATAACTTAAAAAAAGTCTTATTATAAATTATTTAAAAAAGCACTTGAAAAATTACCTAGATTCTGATTTCACAATATATTCATATAATCGCTCTTCATAAGGTGTAACGGGCCTCACATTATCATAAAATCCTAAAATCAACCAATATTAAACCCATGTTTAATTAGTTATGATGACGAATTTTACAAATTAAAATTTAAATCTACCTGGAATCAAAATATGATTATCGTCTGATATAAGTTTTGCAAGAATCCGAATCATATCATTTAAAGGTTCTGATACTGCTCCTCCTTGCATACCAGAATGTAAATCCGTTTGTTCGCTAAAAATCTATTCAATAAAATAATTAGTTTATTTTGTATTCTATATGGTAAATAGATTTAAGTTCTTATCAAAAAACTTACTTCGATAGTGGCACCAATTACTCCACGAAGTCCATAAGTTAGACATGGCGTCTCATCATCTAACCAATAAGAATTACTATATAATATATAAGATCGAAATTATCATATAGAATTTTTATGGCCAGTAAGAAGGAAAGCAAACAAAATTATACCTTAATAGAATAACGTCTGCTTCGCCGATCAAATGCTATATTACCAAATTTTTTATAAAAAAATTTGTTAATCAAATAATACCTCGGTAAGAAATAAACACATCCGGTTTTTTTTACCTTGGATTTTTCCACCACATCATGAAATCCAATACTACCATTTTCTTCTTCACCTTCAATTAAAAATGATACATTTGCTCTAAGTTTTTTCTCCTGCTGTAACTCACTAACGGCGAATATAGCTGCAAGCATAGGTCCCTTATTATCGGTAGTACCTAAATCATATAATATAATAAACATAATTACATTTTATAATTTTAATTGAATTGATAGATGAACTAGCCTTTTACCTCTGCCATAAAGATATCCATCCTTTCCTATATGAAATAATAATAATAATACTATTATTATTATTATTATTAATGATATTTTTTTTCTGTAAAAATGATTTAACCAGTTACCAATCATTTCGAAGGGATTTGTAAGCCATTTGGTTTCATCCGCATCAATAACATCATAATGCCCATAAACAAGTACATTTAAACGTCTGTGTTGTTGTTTATCATT